TGTGTGTCTCGAAATGTGTGCACACGGGCACGCAAACCGAGGCAATGGCATACGCAATGCAATATGGCTAAAATGGCATATAGAATGCAACATGGACTTACACTAACATGAGAGAGCCTCAGCCACACTCACATAAGAGGCCGATAGATGAAAACAAGATAACTCGAAATGCGTGCACGCGTGCGCGCAAACCGAGGACCGACCCTCAAGCACCGAAATGCCACTCTAATGAGACATGGCAAAGACATGGAATATGACATGTAAATATGCAAAAATCAGTAGCAAAATAAAGGGGAAAACAGCCCCGAAATAAGGCGAAATGACACCCGATGCTGGGAATCTCTCCCGAAATGCAAAACTAGGTACATGAAATGACTTACAGCTATACAAAGCATGCATAATTGGTACATGGAATGAAAAGACAGTAGTAAGGCAGCCCCAAAATTAGCATTTTTCTAGTACAAATCATGGCCAAACAGCAAGCAAAGATAGGGCAACAATGGCATGCAAAAATGGCCCTACACATGAGGTTATGAAGCAACTCACAGCTGCTAACTCCAAACAGGTTAGGGCCCTTCAACAACATTGAAGAGGGGCCAAAAATATGCACATTTACAGAACTGTAAAAACCCCAAAAACAGACATAGATATGGCTAAGCTCTTATGCAAGAAAAAGGGTCAAAAGGTGGCCAAAGAGGCAAGTGGTATATGCACAGCCCAAACTTAAAAATTCCCTTCTACAACATTGAGGAGGGACCAAAAATAAGCATATTTACAGAACTGTAAAAACCCAAAAACAGTATACAAACATGCTAGAAATGCAATGCAAAATGAGGCTCAAAAGTGGCTATAACATGAGGTATACAAAATAATCATCAAACAAGCAAAGACCCTTAATAAAACATGAATAATGGGCCAAAATAAGACTATTTCTAGGCCTGTAAAAAGACCAAAAACAGAAGCATGATAGGCTACCAAAGCATGCAAAAATGGGGACCAAAGAGAGGATATAACATGAAGTGGCATATGGAGGTCCCAAACAGTGATGAGCCCTTCTTCAATGTTGAATAGGGGCTCAAAATAAGCCTATTTTTAGTTCTGTAAAACACCCAAAAATGGAAGCACAATAGGCTAATAAATCATGCAAGAAAATTGACATACAAGGGGATATTGAAGCAAGTGCAATATGGGGGCCTCAAACAGGGTTGAGCCCTTAATGAAACAAGAAAATGAGCTCAAAAAAATGCCCTTTTCAGTTTTGGTCGGAGCTCAAATCAGTAAGCATGTTGGCTAAGAAATTGGTGCAAAAAAGAGCCACAAAAGGGGGAAAGTCTACTTACCCTTGAAGGCTTGACTTTGGTTGCTTCTTGGCTTGAGTTTGTGGCTCCTTAGGCCTTGGAGAACACCTTCAAACTTCTGGAATGGAGGATGGAAGGGTGGGGGTTGGTGGTGTAGAAGAAATGGTGGTGTAGGACTTGGAGGTTTTTCAAGGAAATGAGAGAGATGGAGGGAGGTTTGTGTATCAAGGCTTGAAGATGAATTCTTCCAACCTCTAAAACAAAGGTTGGCAGCTGGTTATAAGGACCAAAAGGAGGGGGAGCATGGAAGGAAAGGGTGGGGGAAAAGGACCAAGGCTTTCCCCCACAAAATATCCCCCGGATACAGATCTTTTCTGGGAAAAAAGGCTATACAGCTGTAAAGTGCATAGTGTGAGGAACATGGTCGGCCCATTTTTGGACTTGCAGGTGGCCGGCCGGCCAGCTCCCCTAGCCGGCCGGCTAGGGGTCAAAAAGGTCAACTTGAAATAGTGGCCGACCACCACATAATGGTGTCCTCCCATGCCTCCTCATCACAACCCTGTGGTTCGAATTTGGAAACTCTAAAACAGGAGAGAGAACAAGCCATTTTCAAGAGGGGTTCAAAAGGGTCAAATGGAGTTTCTGACCGGCCATAAACTTTTAGGGTCCTCCCATGTGTGTACAACACAAATATGTGGTTTGGGGTTGAAGAATGTGGCCCCAAGGTGTTCAACATTGGCTCGGAAGCGAGAAAAACGGGTGCCAGAGGGCGAAAATGGAATATAACTGGTTGCCAAGATAATTGCTGGCCTCCCACCCTCCAGTGACCTTCCTGGTGATGAAACAGAGGCACCTGCCAAAAATGAACGAAAACCGATGCAAAACGAATGCTCGGGGGCCAAAACACGCAGTTCGGGGCCCCGAAAATGGGCTGCTAAGCACCAAAAGTGGCGTTCGGCCACGAAGTGGGTTTCTCAGACCCCAGTGTCCCACAATAGGGAGAAAATAAGAAGTATGCCAAAATTCAGAGCAAATGGAGACGGTTAAGCGGTCCCGAACTGAGGCACACGGCCAACGGTCCCGAAAAACCGGAAACCGGGCTCCGAAATGGGCAAAATGGCCTATGACCACAAAACGTAGCCCACGGCCACTAAGAGATGGTCTACAGGACCTCTCCCTTCCCTTAGGAAAAGAAACAGAGAAAACCGAGCCTGGTTCGCAAACCGAGGTAAAGGCACAGAAGAGGGTTCGGAAGTCCAGAGGCAGGGCTCACGGCCGTGACTCTGAAACTTCTGAACGAGCGCGATATGCAACATCACCAAGCGCTCAATCGGTGACGTCTAAGTCTCAAGGTCGGTCAAAAATGGGGTGTCTACAACGCCCTTTTTCAACTAAGTTTAGGGCGTATTCGGCTCTAACTCTCTCCCTACGGGTCTTAATTATATTCCGTCAGTTGTCACAAGTCCTATTTGTCATGGAGAAGCTGTCCGTGAGAGTCACACGGTGGTTCGGGGGCTGTTTTGAATTTTTGCCTCCTGGAAGGCTCTTTTTCAAGTAAGTTTAAGGCGTATTTGGCTCTAACTCTCTACCTATGGATCTGAATTACATTCCTTCAATTGTTACAAGTCCTATTTGTCATGGGGAAGCTATCCGTGAGAGTCACACGATGGTTCGGGGGCTGTTTTGAATTTTTGCCCCCAGAAAGGTCTTTTTCAATTAAGTTCAGGGTGTATTCGATTCTAACTCTCTACCTACGGGTCCGAATTATATTCCGTCAGTTGTCACACATCCTATTTGTCATGGGAAAACTGTCCGTGAGAGCCACACGGTGGTTTGGGGGCTGTTTGCAATTTTCACCCCCGGAACGCCCTTTTTCGATTAAGTTTAAGGCATATTCGGCTCTAAGTCTCTACCTATGGCTCCGAATTACATTCCGTCAGTTGTCAGAAGTCCTATTTGTCATAGGGAAGCTGTCCGTAAGAGTCACACGGTGGTTCGAGAGCTGTTTCAAATTTTCACCCCTGGAACGTATTTTTTCGACTAAGTTTAGGGCGTATTCGGGTCTAACTCCCTACCTACGTGTCCGAATTACATTCCGTCAGTTATCACAAGTCCTAGTAAAGCACAAAAAGGGTTTGATTTGGCACAATGTTCAACCACAATTAGTTTCAAGGTGTTGATTTAGAAATTCATCGAAAAATGTCTCACAGCTAAAAAGAAATAAAAATAAAAATTTGAAAATCAAATTAACATATTCAAATATCGAAAAGGAAACAAAATGCATATTTTGGGAATTGACAACATATTTAATCCTAAATAATATATTGGAATCAAACATCTTGTAAAGGACATTCTGTCAACATATTATTTCTGCTGCATTCATCATCATCTAGTGCAACACTTTTTCATGTTTAGGGTAAACAAAAGAAAAAAAAAATCAAAAACATGTTGTTATATTTATATATATATGTTCTTCTTTCTTAGATGGAAAAAAAATAAATAAATAAAGAACAAGGTCCAATAAGTACTTAATACTTGCAAATCTCTAATTATGGAATCAAATCAATCTCATGAATATACAACAACAATTCCACTGGAAGTTAATGAAATAAATAGTTTATAAAGGAATTTCTTTATTAGGGTCTAGAAGTTTGCACATAAACAAAGATACGGTGAATAGATAAGGTTTGTGTGACCAAAGACATATCCTCTTCATGTTTGGTGACAGGGGCTTTTAAGCAATAATTGACTTTAAATACATTAGTGGAATCCCTATTTTTTAAAGGATGATAATAATATCCTAGTCTTTTGAAAAGCAGAATTTTTTTAAAGAAAAAGGAACACAATACACCTATAAATTTGAAAACATGTCAAGAGCATTTTGAATACTCCAAAGGGGCAGTGAGCAATGACAAACCAAATATCCTATCAGCCTTTAGGTAAAATGTACGACAGGTTGAAGCCTTTCTTTGCTGTAATTTTCTTGCAATTTGGGTTTGCAGGGATGGATATACTTTCTAAGGTTGCATTGAATGAGGGGATGAGCAATTATGTATTTGTTGTTTACTGCCATGCCATTGCCACTATTGTCATCGCTCCATATGTAACGGCCAACACATAAAACCATGATCCACATAAACACAAACAGGTTTTCTTGAAACATGTCTGCCATGGTGTTTGTATGTCTGGGGAATTGTTAAAGTTTTCTGTCCTAGGATGGAGAGGATAAAGATCAATAGTATTCGTAGCCAAGCTAAGATAGTTGGGACAATAACCACTGTTGGAGGAGCCATGATCATGACACTAGTAAAAGGCCCAATTATTGAGCTGTTTAGGAAAAAAGGAAGCAGCATTAATGAACTTCAAAAGGATGGGGTAAATCTTCAACATTCAATTAAGGGAGCCCTAATGATTACAGTTGGATGCTTCAGCTGGTCATGTTTCATGAATCTGCAAGTAAGTTGGTCGCTATATGAACTGCTAGATATGGACAATTAATTTTTATCTGAGATCATAATTATATTTGTTTCTGTTTCTCTAGGCAATCACGCTGAAGACATCCCGCTGAGCTCTCCATCACTGCTTGGATATGCCTATTAGGAACAGCTCAGGGGGCCATAGTGGCGCTTAATGGAGAGGGGAAATGCTAGCGTCTGGTCTATAAGCTGGGACACCAAACTCCTGACAGCTCTTTACAGTGTAAGGAGACTAAATGGGAAAACAAAAATTTCTTTCTTAATGTTAACCAGGGATAAGAAAATCAAGTATATGCAGTACATTAATGACTGTTTTTCCCTAAATCCCAACTTCATTGTAGCCATATTCTCTAAATCAACCCAACTCCCTTCTAGAGGCCCCTAATTCATAGCAGTCCCATCAAAACTTCTGTTCACTTCAATATGCATTGATTTTTCTTCACAAAACTACAACATGAATTATACCTTTCTAGAAAAAAATTCTGAAACTACTATACACAAGGATGTAAAATAGAGGATTTGTTCTCATGACATAGGAGAACCAGCTTTTGCCAAAAATGGTAATATTCTACAGCTCTTTGTTTTAAAATGTATATATGCAGGGCATAGTTTGCTCGGGACTCACTTATTACATTCAAGGAGTAATAATGACAGACAGAGGACCTGTTTTCGTGACAGCTTTCAGCCCACTGAGCATGGTCATCGTAGCTATCATGAGCTCATTTATTCTGGCTGAACAAATGTACCTCGGAAGGTAACTCTCAAACACTTTACCTAATTTACATGTAGACCCCTAAACAGCAAAATAAGATAGCTAATGGCACAATTTTGCAGGGTACTTGGCGCAATTGTTATAGTTGCAGGCCTATATTTTGTTGTGTGGGGTAAAAGCAAGGATTACGACTCCCTATTCCCATTAACTGACAACCAAACAGCACCAGCTAAGCAAAGGATGGATCAAGATAACAATGGAGATGGAATTTCATGTCATGAGAACATCAACGTCAATGCATCTAACAAAGGAACCATGACCATAGAGGTACAAAAGTATGATAAAGGAAACCAGACCACAGCCTAGCTTATGTGTTTTCTGAAGTTAACAAGTTCAAATAATTCACGGCTATAAAAACAGTAGTAGACCTCATTTTCTGAAGCATCTTCCTTTTGAATAAATTGTTTATTAATAGTATGATGCAGACCATGAGGGCCAAAGAAGAAGAAAAGAAAATTTTGAAGATTTAATCCACTTTAAAAACTGGTTCAACCATGAAGCTTAATGGATTTGAAGAGTTTATAAAAAGTTATATTTATACGCTTTGGGCATTTTGGTAATTCAATTACTTAGCTCTAAGGTAATCTCCTCATTAAGTTGCTAGTGGTGAGCTATTTGTCTACCACTACTGAGCTACTTGCAACTTAATGGGTAACTTACCTCTTAATCAACCATTAAGTAACCTACTCAGTTCTTCTTCGTAAAGAGCTGTTACTTTTCTTTTGAACAAACAGGAGATGCAAGAAAAATATTTAGCCTGTGCTTCTTTAGTTTGATGAGATGCCAAACACCCTCTGGTGTTTGATTCCACAAAATCCTATATAAAGAAGTGCAAATCTACTTGTTCCAACAATGCAAGACACCTCAACCCTTTGTTCTTTCTTTACTTTGTTTATCCAATCCACCACCAAAATCCATTCAGATGCCAAAGCAATTTTCTACTGAATCAGATTATTTAAAACAGAATGCCAATGCAGAGTTCAATTGATTGTCCATTTGCTTCCACCTTATGATAAAACAAATAGTTGTGTAAGTTGTCATCTTCAGGATGATCCAGATAGGAGTATATTCTGACTTGGGCATCTAAGTTCATGATAACAAATACCATAAGTTACTAACCCAAAAAAACAAATACCATAAGCAGCCCAAAAATTTGATGGGCACTCACTTAGTTTGTTAAAAATCCCTTCTATCCATCTCATACACACAAATGATTACCATAAAGTCACAGCAACATGTCTTTTCTCACAAGCTCAACAAAACATTCTTTGGGGTTTTCCATGTCTCGTTGTATCACTTTCAACTCCCATACTACCCTTTTCATTGGTCCAGCCAGTTAAAAGACTCCCAATAAATGTTTCACAGAAAAAGAAAAAAAAAAAAAACCTCCACAACACGCACAAACTGGACCTGGAAAATTGAATGATGATAGTGAGTCCCAGGCAAACCAATAACCGTAATATTTCTCCCCTTATATTTCTGCAGGTAAGACCAACAGCAGATCATTACTTTCATGCAAAATGAACAGATTGCTATAATCTAATGCAACTGGAAGAGAAAAATTGGTGTAATTTAATGTAATTATTAGTTAAGATTGACTGAATCCTGACCTTAAGAAGATTGAAAGGACCAATATCAATTCCGTATAAGACAGGACGGAGTCGCGATGGCTGAAGATGATCGCGAGGTGAGTCGCGATGGCTGTGGACGATGGCGGAAGATGATCGCGACCTGAATCAGAAGCACGGTGATGACGTTCGCGAACCAGAGGGACTGAGTTCGCGAACCAGAAGGACCAGAACTGAGCCACGACGAAGCACAGGCTGAAGCTGATCTCGAGTTGCTGATAATGACTGAAGACGCGACCCACGAACTAGAGAGACCCACGAACCCTACGTTGCGACTGTGAAGAAGACCAAAGAACAGAGACGACTTCGAACAATCGGCGACAACTTCGAACAAGGTTCTGATACCATGTAAGATTCATAATATATTTCACAATATATTCTCACATTGGGCTGCTTTGGTTCGTATTCTTCGCTATCTCAGGGGTACCATATTTCAAGGCTTACTATTGTCCTCTACTTCATTTTTGGACTTGGTGGCCTATGCTGACTCTAATTAGGCTGGTGATGTTACTGATCGCAAGTCTACGTCTGGTTTCTGTATGTTTCTTGGTGATTCCTTGATCTCTTGGAAAAGTAAGAAACAATCAGTCGTTGTCCACTCTACTGTCGAAGCTGAGTATCGTGCTATGGCTCATGCCACTGCTGAGATTGTTTGGCTTCATTGTCTTTTCTCTGATTTGGGTGTCTCTCAGTGTAGCAACCCTCACCTTACTCTTGTCATACTTGCATACATTCATGCATGATCTTGTCTTGTTATGTTGTTTTGCAAGCTTTGCCTTGCCTTGTTTTGTTTAAGTGTTTCTTACATGATTTTGTTCCTTGCTTGGTGTGTAGCCGAGGTCATCTTGAGCATAGTTCACCTCTGAACCTTTGTACTTAGAACTGTTTTGGAACCACTTGGTCGGCCCCCATCTTCACCCCGGGCATGTTTGCCGAGATGTTTTACACTTAGTGATCCTTGTCGTTGGGCAGATATGGCATAGACCGAGGTGTGGCACACCCAGGCCAAGGTGTGGCACAGCTTAGTCAAGTGTCGTCCTCCCTAGCCGATGTCTTTGTTACCTTGTTGCTGAAGCTTTGACTTTAGCTGATGTCATTACTTGTCGATGTGTCTTGCCTTAGCTTGCTGCATACGCTTTGTCATAGACTTGTCTTATCAATCAATCACCTTTTGAGTTGAACCAACCTGGTAGCGCCACGTGTCCGAGCTGATTGTTAAGACAGCCGGCAGACCTAGAAACAAATCATTTTGTCACAAATCTTTGCCTTTAGAGAGAGAAGCTCTAGAGAAAGGAGAGAGGGAGAGTTTCTTGAGGCGATATAGATCTTCCAACGCTGATCTTCGAGGTTTGAACCGTTAATTCGAAGTTTATGAGGTTAGAATCTTAACCTAACTCTTGTTGTTCTTATTGATCATCTAGTGCGTTGCATGATGAATCTGTTTTGCAGTGTCATGCATCGATTTGAGTTGGTTTTGGCGGGAGAGAACAATAGTAATTATGTGTTCTTGAAGAAAAGTCTCATTTTGATCCGAAAGTTTGGAAACAGACCATGTTTTTGTGTTTGTTCTTTGCCCATGATCTTCTCTGTAGGGTACCAAGGTCCATGTTTTGATCTCATGGCATAAATCTAGATTTTCCTGTAACCAGTTATGATCTTTGCATTCTCCTTCTCATGATTCTGTTCCATTCGCGTTCTTCAGTATTCTTCGAAGGAAAACCCAGGTTTTTCCGACAGTTGCTCGAAATGAGCACCAATCAGGACACACTCGGCAAGGAGGTGTGGAACCTCGCAAGCCTGGTTGGTACCCATATATGTTTCATTGAGACTGGGAGCAATGTTTAACCTCCAGCACGTTTGTTTGCTTTTGACTTGACCTAGCTGAGAATGCGAATCTTTGCACTGCATATAAAAGCTTGTTTTTGAGAAAATGTGATTTGCCATGTTTGTAGGTCCTTGATCTTTGCTTTGAGCTCTACCACTGGAAGAACTATGGTGAGTGGGTGTTTAAAAACTATGTTATACTGTTTTGGATAATCTTGCTTGCTTTGTTTTTGCGAAGTAATTGTTAAGCAATGAATCAGCTCTGTTTGTTGTTAAAAGTATAAGCTTTGTTTTTGATGCCAACCCTCGAAAGTCCCTCTGTACTGAGAGACTCTAAACTTTCGCAGTAACCAAGTATGAAAGTCGCTTGTGCTGGAGACTATAAACTTTCGCAGCATAAGTTAAAAGGATCGGTCCTTTTCTTGGAAAGACTATCGTGTAAGCGGCTACGGCCTAGTAACATCAAGCCATCGTGTTAAAGAGGTACGGCTGAGTAACACAAGCCTTGTTGGCTGGAGGACTATAATTTGCGCAGTACCTGTGAACTAATCGATTACGTTAATCTGTGCGTCTTTGTTTTGCCACTGACGGTTTTACCGCGGGTTTGTTCTGTTTGGAAAGCTTGATCGTATTTGCCGATGTCAGTAAGCAATCCCTTTGACTTTAAGCTTGACTAGATGATCAGGTTATCCTTGTTTTGATACAGTTTTACGTGTTTGTTCTGTAGGACCTCGGCTAATTCGTATGGTTTTGGCTATGCTTTGTTTTGAAAGACTTCGGCTTATTTCATGCAAAAACCTTTTTATTTGCACCATTCACTGAGTATCCAGCTTCACCCCTCTCTATATTATGTAGGTGATGGAGCAGGACGGCCGGCGAGCCTAGATGTGTTTTGGAAAGACTGTTTATGGATCCTTGATTTTGGTGCTTTGTTTTGTATTCACGTCGGCCGATCCATTTCTTTTACGTCGAGCGAATCTTGAAATCATGCTTCTTGGCTCGATTCACTGTTATTTTGTATATGTCGCGTCTGAGAAGCTTTTGATCAAGATGTAATACTTATTTTTGGCTTTGTTCGTATTCAGTGTAAGAGTGATTCATTGTCATTGAACTTTCACTGCTCTTATGAACCTGTTTTTTTATTGCTTCCAAGAGAGAGATATTTCATGTCATGAGAACATCAACGTCAATGCCATCTAACAAAGGAACCATGACCATAGAGTACAAAAGTATATAAAGGAAACCAGACCACAGCCTAACTTATGTGTTTTCTGAAGTTAACAAGTTCAAATAATTCACGGCTATAAAAACAGTAGTAGACCTCATTTTCTGAAGCATCTTCCTTTTGAATAAATTGTTTTATTAATAGTATGATGCAGACCCATGAGGCCAAAGAAGAAGAAAAGAAAATTTTGAAAGATTTAATCCACTTTAAAAACTGGTTCAACCATGAAGCTTAATGGATTTGAAGAGTTTATAAAAAGTTATATTTATACGCTTTGGCGCTTTTGGTAATTCAATTACTTAGCTCTAAGGTAATCTCCTCATAGTTGCTAGTGGTGAGCTATTTGTCTACCACTACTGAGCTACTTGCAACTTAATGGGTAACTTACCTCTTAATCAACCATTAAGTAACCTACTCAGTTCTTCTTCGTAAAGAGCTGTTACTTTTCTTTTGAACAAACAGGATGCAAGAAAAATATTTAGCCTGTGCTTCTTTAGTTTGATGAGATGCCAACACCCCTCTGGTGTTTGATTCCACAATCCTATATAAAGAAGTGCAATATCTACTTGTTCCACAATGCAAGACACCTCAACCCTTTGTTCTTTCTTTACTTTGTTTATCCAATCCAC